ATTCCAGCACTTGAGCAATGGAGGCAGGAGGTTCAGAAGTTCATGGTCACCCTTGGTTATGTAGGAAGTTCAAGGACAGCCTGGGATATATGAGAATCTGTCTCAAAAAAAAAAAAAAAATACAATCAGGACTGGAGAACTGATTCAGCAAGCAGCTAAGAGCATTGGCTGCTCTTGTAGAGGACCCAGGTTCGATTCCCAGCACCCACATGGTGGCTAACAACTGTCTGTAACTCTAGTTCGGGACAGGGGATCTGACGCTCTCTTCTGACTTCCATGGGCATTGCAGAACACAAGTGTACCTACATATATGCAGGCAATACGCTCTTATACATAAAATAAAAATAATAGATAAAATATCTTTTAAAAGATGCAATCCAGAAGATATGTAAGTTAATCATCACTATATATTTCTCTTTGCAGAAAAGAGGGTTTGCCATGTCATGCCGTTTTTCAGGCAATAAACATCTTTAACGCACACTATGTTCCACAAGCAGCCTGGATCAGGTTCATTTGAACAGACAAACTCTTAGCAGACTTGCCTCTTAGCAGAGTACTCATCTTTCACATGGACTCAAACTGGAAAGACCATTTCAGGTATAGCAGAGAGATGTAGCACATCAGCTCAAGAGCAAGGCTGAATTCCCTACTTACTATTTCAAATAATTTTATCCACAGTCACCAAGCATACTGCTTCTGCTGTAGGTAAATGTCTTGATTAAACTTACATGAAAGTAAAAAAGTATTATTTTAAAAATAGATTAAAGCAACATCATAAAGGGCCATAAATAAGATTAAAAGTTGTTAAATAGACCATATATCTGAGAATTCATGTGTCTATTAATTAGTTTATTCAACAAAAATTTGTTGAGTACCTTTTCAATGCGATGTTCTGCCTTCAATAAGTTCGAGGAAGAGAATGCTATGAAAACAGTTCCTTCTTTGTAGACTCTACTTTCCCATAGTGTGGGTGGGGGGAAGATAATAGCAAAAATAATTTAAAAGCTAACTCAGCAAATATATAGTGACTCAGGGTTGGTGATAGGGGAAAGGCTGTAGGGAATAATAGAGCAGTCAGGGGAACTGAACGTAAGTGTGAGGGCTGGTAGTAAGTATATGCAGTGTGGGCTGGGAATGACCCACTGCCAGGATGACAATTGAGAAGGGACCAGAAGGAAGTGAGAAAGTTTGGGCTATAGATTCCTAGGAGAAGGCTGTTCCAGGCAGAGACAACAAGAGGTGCAAAGGCCCTGAGTTAGAGACATGCTTGTATCCACAGCGGCTGGAGTGGTTGGAGTGGGGTTTGAGAGGAGAGTAGTAGAGGTGAATTCAGGAGAAGGGCTTTAGGACATGGAAGATACAACAGATCAGATAGGATGCTACAAAGACTTCAGCTTCCCTTTTGAGTGAAATGAGAAGGTGGTGGAGCATTTTCAATAGAGAAGTGGCACTTAGGTGCCATGGCCTTATCATGACCTTTTGACTTAATAATAGCATGAAAAGCATGTGACCAGTAGATATTTAGAATTTGACTTTCTCCCTGTTCCCATAATGCTAGGCCGGACAACAGTTCAGCCATGTGATCCCAGGAGAAACAACACTCTGCAGTACTCTGCAGTGCTCTCTGCGGGGGGGGGGGGCACCTACATTGTTTTTATTCTTTTCTTGTGTGTGTGTGTGTGTGTGTGTGTGGTGTACACACAATATGTGTGCAGATGTCCATACGGAGTCTCAGAGAAGACATTGGTATCCCTCTCTCTCATTCTCTGCCTAATTCCCTTGAGACAGGGTCTCTCACAGAATCTGGAGCTAGCCCCACTGATTCTGCTGTCTCTACACACACCCTCAGTGCTGGGGTAACAGGCATGTGAGACCATGCCCACCTGTTTACGTAGATGCTGGGGACATGAAGTCAGGTCCTCACACTTTCAGAGCAAACACTCATACTCACTGAGCACTCTAATGCATTGAGCAATTTCCCCAACCTTTTTCAATGTGTGTGTGTGTGTGCGTGTGTGTGTGTGTGTGTGTGTGTGTGTGTGTGATGATTTACATAAGTGATAGGTGCATGCAACCATGTGTACCCATGCAGAGGCCAAAGCAGGACAGCAGGTATCTCCTTCTATCTCTCTCCATCTTATTGCCTGAAGACAGTTTCTGTCACTGACCTGGAAGCTGGCTGTTTCAGCTAGGCAGGCTGGCCAGGAAGCTTTCACGGATTTACCTATCTCCACTCCCCAGTGCTGGGATTACAGGCATGTACAGCCATGCCTGGCTTTTTATGTGGGTAAAACTTGAACAGTTTGAGGGTGGCTATTAGATAGGAGACTTTTGTAAAAAGACAAAACAAGGCATTCCCCTGGGGACTGGACTAGCCCTTCGTATGGATTAGAATGGAGAGTATGGCAAGAGAAGTGGGTTTGGAATAAACATGAGAAATTTGACTTTGGAAAACATACTAGCATTCTGTGCTGTCCAGATCAGCCATTGCCAACAAATTACATGTGGGTTATCTAAATTTGCATTTCAATTAGTTAAAATTAAATAAGATTGGAATTTCTGTTCTGTTACAGTCACCACATTTCAGTGCACGGCATCACCCTCATGCAGCTAGTGGCTGCAGTGGTGGGCAGAGCAGGTATCAGAGAGCATTTCCACCATCACCATCACACAAAGTTCTATTGGTTAGTGCAGGTGGGACCTTAAGCCTTTACCATATTCTGAGTGTTGTGCTAATCACTTTCCATATATTATTGTCATTTGACTCCCTGAGTCAGGCAGTATTTCATCCTTTGACACAGAATGTAACTAGGATTCAGAGACGTTAAGTCATTTGCTTCAAGTCACACAATTAGGAGTAAAAACCAAGGGATGGATTCCACGACTGTTTGTCTCCAAAGCCCAAGCACTTATATCAGCACACTGTATTTTAGGAAGGTTAGATTGAAATGAGACACACACAGAGACATTTATAGTTATTGTCAACAAAGCATTGAATCTAGGAAAGAAATGCGATCTGATGGCCTAGGGGTAGAGGTGCCTCTCCCAGAGGATCTCATGTATTACAGAACAAAGCCTAGCACAGTGGAACATACCATCCTTTAAAAGAAAGCAAGCCACTGATGAGGCCTCTGGCAAGAGATGAAGGGGCAGAGCTGAGGTGAACTGGCAGTGAGCAGTGTAAAGTTGGGATATGAGTGGTCTCCCTGTGACCTTTAACTAAGTATATGGAACCTTAGAGGGCATCCGGAGATGTATGGGGTGCTTGGGACAGAATGGTAGGTGCCATGGGACATTAGTAGATGAGTTACTAAGAGTCCTGTGATGCACACTCACCCCAAATGCCAACAGCTCTGCCATCAAGAAACACGGGCCTCAGGATATACTCTACAGCTATAAACAGCAGTATGAGCACTAAAACATGGGGACTGTGTGGTGAGATGAACTTGTTCCTATGCACTCTGACTTGCACTCATTTGTGAGGCTTGGCAACATGCACTAGGCTCTGCACCTCAAATTCCTCATCTATAACAGAAAATAAGTTACACGCCTAAGCTAAACTGCTTCTGCAAATTATAAGAACACTTCAAGTGCTTAGGTCAGGGAGAATGTCAAATGTCCACCATTTTCAAAAGCAGAAAATGGGGGATGAGGACATAGAGACCCAAAAAAGATGGTTCATTCACACAGAAAGGGAATGCAAAGCACTGTTCAATTCAAAAATACTATATGAGGTAGGCATGGTGGTACACTGTAACCCCAGCACTCAGCATGAGGCAGAATGGCAAGTTCCATAGGGAGATCCTGTCTCATAAACTCCACACCACCATCCCACCACAAAAAATTGAGATATTCTGCTCCAGGTTTTTGAAATCCGTATATACCACTCAGCTCAGACTGGCCACTTTCCTAGAGCTCCATAGGCACCCACCGCTTATAGGTGCACATTGACAGCATGAGGCTAAGCTGTCCCTGAGATATCACTCTTTCACTGCGTACTGGCTTTAGGTAAGTTTTTTTTTTTTTTTTTTTTTTTTTTTTTTTTTTTTTTTTTTTTTTTTTTTTTTTTTGAGACAAGATCTTGTTATAGCCCAGACTAGCCTGAAACTCATAATCCAGACTCTTATGCACTGGGATATCAGATATAAGTACCTTTGAGTGATTTCCAAGAGAAGATTCTCACCAGCATTATACCAACACACAGGTGATAACAGAAGTCTCAGTTCACTTAAGAACTCTAGACTCAGGAATGTTGGGAGAAAGATTGTGCTGTGGAATGACTAAATACATTAAGTGGATGAGGCAAAGCAAATTTCTACTTCCTGTGTCCTTGAACTAGTCCTTGACTAGTTAACTAGTCAAATACTTGTTCTCTTATCTGCAGAATGCAGATAACAGTGTTGGCCCCTCTGCTGCTCTGGGGACTGTATAAAGATAAGCACTTAGAACTTATTTCTCAAATGTGAATTGTGGGTGTTTGTATTTGAGAATGAGAAATGCAACAGAACTTCATCAGAATTCTAGTAATTCTTTATATAGTACATTATGTACTTATGTGTAGAAAGAACATAGACGTATCTGAGACCTATGGTAATTTTGTAACTTAATAATGAGCACATCTATTCTTCTAAAGCTGGGACGGTCCTTATGCTTGTCCAGTGTTCTGATTCTCTCAACCTCTAGTATAGTTCTTAGCACTTGGTAGGACCTCAAAAAAATTGTATACTAAATTAATTTTCTGTTGCAGGATTCCTGAATAATTGTTATACCATCTAGAAGTATGCTTTTGGGTCTTACTTTACATTATAAAGTTTATGTATCTACCTTTGAGAATAGTCACAAATTCTTGAGTGGACAAAAGAAATTGGCCTCATCTATAAGCCGCAAGGATATAGATGCAGTGTGGCACCCTCAAGACTACCTCAGAGATTATTCAGTTCCTACTTATTTATAATATATGGCCAATTTCCAGCCAATTTAAACAACACACACACCACAGATTAACACAAACATGTTTATTTACTAACCAAGGGGATGATGGTAGTTAAATCAACACTTTGAAAAAGGCTGAATGTAAAATGTCTGTGATAAAGATAATTGAACACAGTAATTAAAAACAAAACCAAAGAAAAGAGACACTATGGAGCAATTGCAGCTTGCTCATTGAACTGAGCTTATTCATTCTTGAACCTAACTCTTGTCCGGGGGGATGATGAAATTTTTATTCTACTTTTTCATAGACCCGAGTACAGGTGACATCGTTCATGACACAATCCTAGGGAAAAAAAAAAAAAAAGATACAAAGTTAGACTAATTACACATTCCAGAGCACAAGTGGTAATAACATGTAAGGGTCAGAATCCTACAAAATCTTCTTCAAAGATGCAGAAAATATATTTAGGATTTCTGGATTTGAGAAAAGCTAGGACCTATATGCATCTGCTATGCTAAAAACTGAAGCACTGAATAGAATACCTAAATTATTCATTTGATCTTGGCAAATACTACTCCTTACTTTAAAGGAAAATGTGCACAAGAGGGCTTCTTGGGAGCTTGCCAAGATCTCAGGCTCTTCTAGAGCAGCTAGAAGAAATCCATTCCAGCTCCATCCTCTGAGAATCATAGTACTTCTCTATCCTCACCAAGGGCTGCCTTAGAAAGGAGTTCACTCATATTTAATTTATTATTTTGCAGATCTTCCCAAACTTATTTCTCCTGCTCAAACCAAATGACAAAAAACAGTTATGAGAACTCTGATTGCAAGACAGAAACCCAGTGTCATATAAGCAGTGCAGCACTTACCACCACTAATTTCCCGTCTTTCAGTTTTCGTGTTATTGTGCTTTCCTTCCCATCCCACTGTTGATGCTGGACCAAGGCACCATCTGTGAAGGTGCAGACCGTCTGCAAAAATAAAGGCTACTGCTTAATCTTCCCACGTACAAGAGTTTCCATGACTCACAACCACCATGCTGATTTTATTCACAGAACAAGTGTGCATTTTAAATCTAGAAATGCATAGATTCATTTTATAATCCTGGGACTTTTACTAATTCATCAAAATTCAACTTCATAAAATAACTTTTATACTAAGTACTTGACAATAAGTAAAAATGTTATCAATACAATCTATCATTCTAGAAGCTTCTGTCATTTCATCATTTGAGTTTTTCTGCCATCAGCTGTTATCAATACAATCTATCATTCTAGAAGCTTCTATCATTTCACCATTTGTTATAACTGACCTGAGTTTTTCTGCCATCAGCTGTAGTTTCCTCAAAATTTTCTCCCAGGGTACAGCAAAACTGTGTTGTTTTCAATGTGCTCTCAGTTTTGACGGTGATATTATTGCCATCACAAGTAATAATACAGTCTGGTTTGGCCATTGCACCCATTTTCCGCAGAGCCAGGCCCACACCTGCAGAATGTGAAATAACACAAAGACCAGTGACACTTTACATAATACAAGCAACGATTCAGTCATAATCATTACACTTGGTGTATTTTCACTTACTCGCTAATATCACATATCTCATGTAAACTCACAAACATCCTGAGCCAGATGGAGATGCTGTCTCCACTGGACAGAGGAGAGCAAGGTAAAGCTCATTCAGCTGAGTGTTACAGTTAGGAAGTAACAGGGCTGACAACATGGCCCCAAATCTTAGCTCTTGGCCTCTGAAATGCTGGCCCTCAGAAAGTCAGGCAATACTTTACTCTCTAACTTTATTTACTAAAGCAGTTGTCAAAGGCACAGGTAGGACACACCTGTAATTCTAGCATTCAGGAGGCAGAGAAGGGAGGATCAAGAGTTCGAGGTCAGCTTAAGCTACACGGAGACCTTGTCGCCAAAACAAATTGGAAAAAAAAAAATTGTTTTTTTAAACAGTTAGTACAAGGTGAGAATAAAAGACTATCTTGCAAACTTAGACACAACCTCAGTCTATACACTGGATTCTGCAAACCACTGTATTTTCCCCAGGCCAGCAAGTGCCTGATAAATACTCAACAGACTACACAAAATAGAAATCAACCCTGAGTTTCCAATGGCAATGTTTTAGGAGAGTAACATATCTATGGTGTTAATAATTGGGGGGAAAAAACTCTGGAAAACAGAAAACATTTCAAAATTGTATAACCATTATTTTCCATCTTTCCAAGGCAAGATTCTTACTCTTTATTAGCAACCTCATTGTGCTAACTGAAAACACTGTACTATTTGAATATTTGGTTGATTTTGACTTTGTGTAATCTGTTAATTACTATTGTTACACAGCTCTGAAATTCCACATTATACATCAGTTTGGAATCTCTGTATTCTCCTCAATGACAACATTCATCAGGAACCTTTTCATAGAAGAGGAGACCCAAGCAGACTGATTCTTATCAGGTGTATCCCCTTGGGGTCTTCTGGTACTCCCCACATCACCACCACCTTGTCTGTTTCCTAATGCTTAGGGCCAGATAACCTCTCTGACTCCAGAATCCTGAGAACCAGTCACCCAGACCCTAAAACACACATTTGCTTTCAAGCAGAACTCTGGCTGGGCCTCTGTCACATCTGTGCACATTCACAAACCCCATATGCATCTCTCAAACCCTGTATGTCTCCAGTGAGTCCAGTAAATGGTGATTTCCAGATTCACTGTGATTAAGTCTTACAATGAGAAAAGGAGGAAAAGAAAAAGAAAATCCTTCTCTTTCTACTGACAATGTCATAAATACACCAATGATTCATCAGGAACCAGGCTTAACCCTGTAGTGTGCTGGATAGTGAATAAAAGAGGTACGGCTGGATGTAGTGCCCAGAGAAGGGATGCCAGTACTCAGGACAGCAGCCTCTGAAGATGCCTCCTAGTCCCAGCAGTCCCCTTCCAGGGAGAATCCTTGTTCTGGTAACTCCGTCCCACTTGGTAGCAGTCTGTAACAAAGGTCCGTTTTTGTTTGCTGTTTGCCTTATGTGCCTACTAGCATGCAATCCCCTATCACAAGATTAGGAAAGAGCAACAACAGAAAATGAAGCACTATTTCCAGTGAAGGGAAACTTGAACCTTGGTCATTCTCTCTAGGCAGGCTTTAATAAGCATGGAGTGCCTGCTGCAGGGCCACACCCATCTTGTAGCAGTCTGCTGTCACAGGCCAGCAGTTTCTCATTATGGTTTTTGAACCAAGCCCATGGTCTCCCTTCAGACTCAGAAGACGTGACAGAGCTACTCCCAGGCACCACGGGTCTGTTCCGCGCTCCGCCCACAAACCAACAGCTGCCCACTTCGGAGCCCCGGGATAAGCAGGTCGGCGCGACCAGCGCCATACCCTGCCAGGAGGTGAGGAGAGAGCCTGGGTGATGCTGGGAGAAGAGATGCAGCCTAGAAATCGGAAGTTGAGCTGCATCCTCATTCACTGCCTCTAAGGGGCTTCTGCAGAAACCACGCCCTGCCACACGGTGTCCCTACCGGGAAGCGGGAGGGGACCCGCGCCATCGATGAACAAAAGATGCCGCAGGGTGGGAAAGGGGAGCAAGGGCTGCCACGATGGCGGCGGGTGGAGGGACAGAGTGGTGGCACGAGGTGCAGAGTGAAAGATGAATAGGGGCAAGAAAAAGAGAACCTTAAGGAGGTCTGTCTGGAGGGAGTCAACAGAAGTGCGGCTGGGGGCGCACGGACGGGAAGCAACACCGGGCTGCCTAAAGGGCGAGGGGCAGAAAAGGAGTCGGGTGGACCACCAGGAAGGAGCACTATCTCCGGAGCCGCGCGGCGGAGAGTACGCGAGCCCCGCTGTCCATCCGACCGGCCGCGTGGTGGAAGGGAGCTAGCAGGTCTCCGAGCCAGATCCCAGCACGTGGATGGACCCAGGGACTAACGACCACCCAGGCCGTGTGATGGGCCAGATCCTCACCTAGCTCCTTCATGTACTCCTCAAAACCTTGGCTTTCCGTCAGGCGCCACCTCCCCTCGAGATCCTTGATGCTGGCCATGGCGGGCTGGCAGGCGGGCGCGGGAGCACAGGCAGGCAGACGGCGGTGAGGACGCAGTGCAACTCCCGGGCGCCACCGCGGCTTATAAGGCGGTGATGTGGGGCGGTGCTGGGCGGCCAATGGGAGGCGCGCCTCGCCCGGACCCCGCCCCGCGCCTCGCCCGGGCCCGCCCCGCACCCCGCCTAGTCCGGTCCCTCCCAGCCCCCGCCCCGGGGGACCAGGGCCGGGGTTCTAGAGGTGCTCACGCGGTGCGCCTGCCGGGGATGCAGAGCATCCCCAACTCCTCCTGCAAGCTGCGACTCGCCCGGCGCGCCCCACTCCTCCCAGAACGCCAGCCCTGGCATGATCATGCGCGTCCGCACGCCCAGGAAACAAACCACACCGGGAACGGTCGGGACCCCATGGCCTGCACCCCAAGATTGGACCGCCCAGCCGCCGGGGATTTTTGGTTAGAAAAATATCCGGAGGAACCAATTAGCCGTAGCCTGAAGGGGTGGGAAAGAATTGATTGCGTCCAGGTGGGGTGTCTGCTGGAGTTAGGCTAGACAATTTTATCAGCAGCTGCTGGGTGAGACTAGGGATGTCTCCGGAAATTCGGTTTCTCCACTAAACTCGCAAATTTCAGCTAAGTGACTGCCACTGCCATTGAAAAATGGTTTATTAGTTTATTTTGTCCATGGAGCAAAAATTACTTCCTTCTAGTTGTTTTGCTGGGCTATAAATTATTTATAAATCACCTTAAACGCATTGACAGACAAAAATATTTTTAAATTATTTATTTAATAACCACATACTTAGAAGAAGCATTTCATTGCAACAGCATTGATACATTCAATAACAATTTCCAGAGCTAAGATGTATCTCTTTCAAAACTGGCTTAAATTTTTAGGTTTACAGGACAGATAAAAATATTTTTATCACGTTCATATGCATAGAAATCCCACAAAATAGGAGGCTCTGCAAAGAACTGATTGAAGCTTACATGGCATTCTGATGGAAGAGTTTGGGAATTCTGGGCAACAATGGTACACAATTCATGAGAGTGAAGGCAGTAACTGTATGGTGAATAAAGGTTATCTGGGGGGTGCAGGGTCTCATGCAACCTAGGCTGGCTGATTTTCACAGTATGTAATAAATTTACCTGAGATATTCCACTTTTGTTATGACACAGATTTGTATTAGGTAATTTTGCCTAACTACAAGTTGATGTGATGTACTTAGTTTATTTAAAGGAGTCTAGACTGAGCTATGATTTTTCACTAGGTTAACTATATACAGTATTCCATGTCAGTTGAATTGAATTTATACAGCAGTAGTCCCAGCCTAAACTGAGGTGCATCTGTACTTTAGTAATGTTGGTTTCTAGGTTGGGGAGATGGTTTAGTGGGCAGAGTGCTTACCTCAGGTGCACGATATCTACATAGATGCTGGGCACAGGAAAGTCATATATCTGTGACCCCAGCACTGGAGGAGCAGCAGGTGGATCCCTGAAGCTCACTAGTCAGCCAGTCTGGCCAGCTGGTGAGTTCAGGTTCAGTGAGGTACTCTGTATTGTGTGTGTGTGTGTGTGTGTGTGTGTGTGTGTGTGTGTGTGTGTGTGTGTGTGTGTGATGGAGAGCATCTGATGAAGATATCCAACTTCAACCTCTTGATCACCACATGCACAAACATGAACAGGTAGGCGCACATGTACCTCACACATGCAAAAAAAATGTTGATTCCTTTATAGATATAAATTGCTTGTGCAAACGAGCACCTTTTCAAAACTATTCCAGTGTCTACAGCTTCTCAGACTAGCTCAGAAAATGCCATATAAGTATGTTGGAGTGGCGTATTTTGATCTACTACAGTCATAATTGAGATAGATGTCCTGAGTCCCAACACCCTGCTGACTGAGCCCTTTGGAGTTTCTTCACAGACTTCTGAGTACCAAATGCCCAAGATTTTGCTCCTCATTTCTCAGCCTAGTGACACTCTATGCTTACTGCCTGCTCCCAGATGGAACTGTAGATCATCTGGGGTGAGATGAAGACATTGCTACAGTCAATAGGTCAGCTGTTCTCATGGAGAGGTCAGTTTATTGTGTATCTGCTATACACTAGATGCTGTCCTTCCTGGCATTTACATCCATGAACTCTAATACCCACTAAATTTTGGTCCCAATAGAAATTTAATAAAAATCTTCTGAGGAAGATTATCCCGATTTCTTAGAAGAAGAAATGAGGTGAGGAATGTTGGTGCTCTGGACTGGTAGAACCAGAATCTGCATCTAGGCCTTTCTCATCAAAGACCTTGTGAAATAGGACCACACCTGCCTGTCTTTTGTTCACCGTGTTTGTGAGAGAGGTGAGAGCAGAGGCCACTTTTGTGTCATCCTTCACACATTTAAAATCTGAGGAAACATCTCTCAGCATGCTGCAGGAAGCTCCTCCCCTGAACTGCATCTCCTTCATTCAAGTTCCCGCCCTAGCCTTTGAGTCAACCTCAGTGTTCCTATGGCATGTCCACACACTGAGTTAGGCTATGTGGTTGTTGCAGTAAGGGCCTGCAGTTCCCACACCTGAGACTCCGCTGCTTCAAAAGCATCTGTGTTCTAAAGGAAGCTGAGCATGCCACTGGCTCCTGGGGCAAGGGCTGCTGCTTCCAGGCTCAGGGCAGCCCCCAGAGAGGCCATAGTCTGTGTTACTAGGCCCCCCAGTTCATCATGTGTGATCTCAAAGTGTTTTCTCCAATGGTAGACTCAACTTGGTAATGATAACCAAGATTAAGTGCCAGAGTATCAATTTTTAGATTGCCATAATAAAACATGTCACAGAAATGTCAAGAGCAGAGTGATAGCAGCATATGAAATGTCCAAGTACTTACTAGTTTTACTACTTGGGTCTTACTTAACCCTAACTTTTCATTTTTTTAAAATAATACTAGGGATTGAACTTAGGGCTTCATACATATTAGGCCAGGAATGTACCACTGAGCTATCTATATCTCCTGTCTTCTTTGGTTTCTATACATTTTGAGAGTCTCACTACATTGCCCAGACTGGCCTTGAACTTGTGATCCTCCTGCCTCAATCTCCAAAACAACTGTGATTATAGACCTACACCACCAGTTCCAACAGAAACTTAATCTTTATTTATTTATGTATTTATTTATTTATTATTTGTATGAGTATGTGTTCATGAATGGGTGTACACGTGTGTGGTGTGTGTGGAGGCCAGAGGTCAGCCTTGGGTGTTGTTCTGAGGAACTCTCCACTTTTATTTAGTTTTTAGTTTAGTTTAGTTTAGTTTAGTTTTGTTTTGTGACAGGGTTTGTCACTGGGACCTGGAGCTCACCAGTTCTGCTGGGTGGGCTGGTCAGTCTTTACTTTTAAATACAACTTTTGCTGTGATGAATAGAATGAACCTTTTGTAGTTAAATACATCTTAGAAAGATATTAAGCTGAAATACCTGCTAGTGTCTGTCTCATGCACCAAGGCCTGTTCAGTACTCAGGGTACCACCGTCAATACCTCATTCTCAAACACCCCACTTGGTCATCTGAGGATTCAGTTAGATGCATACATACATATATGTAGTATAGCTGAGGTTCTTTTTCATTATTTATTTTTAAATTGGATGTATGAAATTTATGAATTCTTTATTCACTTCTGTGACTTTTTTTGATTTTTTGATACAAGGTCTCCCTATAGTCCTGGCTGTCCTAGAACTCACTATATAGAGCAGGTTGGCCTCGGTCTCACAGAGATCTGCCCGCCTCTACCTCCCAAGTGCTGGGATTAAAGGTATACGCCACCACAGGAGTGGTGAGTCACTCCTGTGACATTTTATAATAGTAAAACATAAGAGTACATTGCAGAAAAATTGGAAAGTACAAAGAAAATAAGAATTATCCATGAGCCAACTACTAGATTACTATTCAGAGAAGCTGTGTTTCTTTCTATATGTATGTGCATGCATGTATGTAGATCTGTGTGTGTACACAAAATCACAACTATAATCTTAATATGTACCTACTTTTATGTTCTGAGTTTCCCCACTTTATATGTTCCCACGGCATAAAAAAAATTGTGTTTCCATTATCTGAACACATGATCTGAAAGCATATGTAGCATCTTACCGTGCAGTTGGCATTGGTGTTCTTTCCAATATGTAAGTATGTGGTATGCAGTTGAAAAGTACTGGCCACCCATCTTTGAAATAGATGTCTTCTGCAAGTCTGTAGACATGTTCAGATTCTTAAACCTTCCTGGCTCACAGAGCTCACCCTTCACCCACAGGACCATCCTGAGTGTGAGGTTTGGTCAGGCTCTTAGGTTCATTCAACTTTGACCTCTTAGGAGCAGCCAGTGCTCACTGAGCTGGTGGCTTTAACAATGTGCACACTTGCCTTCAGAATGGACCCACATTAATAGTCAAATTAGAAGAGGCCACCAAGAAATTCATGTCAAAGTCCTTAGTCTCCAATTTCACCCAAACTATAAATGAAAGATTTAATTTTGAACATCTATTTTTCTTCTTTGAAACCACAGCATTTGTGTTGCCACTGATACTCAGCTGTTCCTCCAACGCAAGCTGAAGAGAAAGTTACTCAACTGTCCAATTAAACAATGTGTGTTTGGTTTGCAACCAGCCACTCCACCAGCTGGCCACCCCCACAGAATTAGATGACCTTGCCTAGTATACACATGCATTGTGGCACTAACATCCACCCTTGCTTTGCAGACCAATTTTAAATTACTGGTCCCCACCAGTACTTGTCTCCGAGGGTTTGTGCCAACACTATTGCTAGGAAACATGATTTAATCTTCATCTCTCCATCTGCTTTAAGACAAAACACTTGCTCCCTTTCACCACAAACCATTTTCCTTTTCCCTTTTACTGGTGTATAAATCTGTTTCCTCAGGAGTATCTGAGCTGATGGTTTCTTCAGTCAGATCTTGACGGTGACAATTCCTGGAACTTGATAAGAGGAATACCTTCTTGCTTGTGCTCCGGTTGCTCAGTATCAGTTGAGGTTTCAGTCTATCATGAAGACAGGGCATGGAAGAACAGAAGAGCTCACTCAACAG